TTTATACCTAGAAACTTAATCATTTATTTTTAGATTTTAAAATTATTTTTATTGCAGGGTGCTGGTGGCTCACGCCTGTAATCCTAGCTACTCATGAGGCTGGGATCTGAGAATCATAATTCAAAGCCAGCCCCAGCAGGAAAGTCTGTGAGACTCATATCTCCATTTAACTGCTGGAAAACCAGAAGTGGTAGAGCATTAACCTTGATTTATTTTATTTTATTTTTTGCCAATTCTGGGGCTTGAACTCAGGGCTTGGGCACTGTCCCGGAGCCATAGTGCTGACCTTTTCTGTTTCTGTGGTACTGAGGAATCGAACCCAGGGCTTCATGCATGCTAGGCAAGCACTCTACCACTAAGCCACATTCCCATCCTGAGCACTAGCCTTGAGTGGAAGAGTTCAGGGACAGTGCCCAGGCCCTGCGTTCAAGCCCCATGACTGACCAAAAAATAATTATTATCTTTAAGTAGCTGGACAAAGGAGTTACTAGTTAACCAATCAGTTTATAAGTACAAATGCATCTTGATCAATATAGCTTCTTTTATTATTCTCTCCTATTCCTCCCAACCTCTCTCAAGTTTCTTAGTTTCATAGGATATGCCTTGAATATTATGACCACATAATATTATGACTCCTTCCTCTCTTCATTCCTTTCCCCCTTTCTTATTGGTCCCTCCTCTGCACTTTTCAACTACCAATTTTCTGGTACTTATTTTGTTGGGCTGTGAGTGAGTTTTTCTAAGGAGATACACCATTTGAAATTCTACCTTGCAAATACCATATTTCAAATAGCACATTTATGTGCACTATCATACAACCCCATATATGTTCACTTGTACATTTATAAATTAGTTATAGCTTCCACATATGAAAGAGAACATGTATCCATTGTTGCTCTGGGCCTGACTTACTTCACTTAACCTAATTTTTTCCAGATCCATTCATTTCTTTGCAAATGAGATAATATTTCTAATGGATGAGTAAAATTCCATTTTGAGTATATACCACTTTGCCTTGATCCATTCATGCAACTGAGAGGCCTTTGGGCTGTTTCCATACCTTGGCTATGGTGAAAAGTAGAGCAAAGAACATGGCTGTGCAAATGGCTTTACTGTAGCCTGATTTGCATAAATCTTTCGGGTAAATGCCAAAGAGTGGTATTGTTGGATCATAGGGTAGTCCTATGTCAAGTTTTTTGAGAAAAAGAAAACAACGAAACTTTTCATAGTTGTTGAACCAGTTTCCTTTCCTACCAACAGGGTATTAGTGTTCCTTTTCCCTCATTGACAACTGTTACTGTTTGTATTCTTTTTTTTTTTTTTTGGGTCCGGTCGTGGGGCCTGAACTCTGGGCCTGGGCGCTGTCTCTCAGCTCTTCAGCTCAAGGCTAGCGCTCTACCACTTGAGCCACAGCGCCACTTCCGGCTTTTTTCTTTTTTCTTATGTGGTACTGAGGAATCGAACCCAGGGCCTCGAGCATGCAAGGCAAGCACTCTACCACTGAGCCACATTCCCAGCCCCATTGTTTGTATTCTTGATGATAGGGATTCTGAGGTGAGTAGGAATCTCAGTGTTGTTTTGACTTGCACTTCCTTCATGACCAGAGATGTTGAACACTTCTTCATGAATCTATTGACCATTTTTACGTCTTTGGAGAAGACTCTATTTAGCTCATTTGCCCATTTTTTAGTTGGATTGTTGATTCTTTGAGGATATAGTTTCTTGAGCTCTCTTTATAAATGAAAGCTGGGCACTGTTGACTCATACACTCATGCTTGGAATCTTAGCTATTCAGGAGACTGAGAATCACGATTTGAAGCCATTTGAGGCAAAAAAGTCCAGAGAATCTGGAGTGCTGGTGGCTCATGCCTATAATCCTAGCTACTCAGGAGGCTGAGATCTGAGGACCACGATTCAAAGCCAGCCTGGGCAGAAAAGTCTGTGAAACTCTTATCTCCAATAAACCACCAGAAAACAAGAAGTGGCTCTGTGGCTCAAGTGGTAGAGCGCTCGCCTTGAGCTGAAGAGCTGAGGAACAGTGCCCAGGCTGAGTTCAGGCCCCACAAAACAAAACAAAAAAAGTCCTTAAGACACTTATCTCCAATTAACCATCAAAAAGCCCAAAGTGCAGCTGGAACTCAAGTGATAGCACTCTAGCACTTACTAAGAAAGCTAAGGGATAGCCATGAGGTCTGGAGTTCAAGCCCTGGTACTGGCAAAAAATAAAAAAAATTAAAAAATACCCAAAAAACAAAAAAATGAAAATTTATGGTAGATTTAATTGAGATATTTAGATATTTAGAGAAAAGGAAACTATTGTTTTTTATGTGATATTTATTTATTTATTGGCAAGCAAAGAACCTTGTGTTGCTAGGTATGTGCTATAACACGTAAGGTACAACAGTAGCCCTTTTTGCTGTAGGTATTTTTCTTTCTTTTTTAAAAGTTTAATTTTATTGTAAAGGAGGGGTTACAGTAACATAAGTAAAGTAGTGAGTACATTCCTTTTTGAACATTGTTACCCCTCTCCCTTGTTTTTCTCTCACTTTCCTTCCCCCTTCACTCCCCCAACCTGCCCAAGTTGTAAAGTTCATTTTCAACATAGTGTCTCGTGAATATCATTGTTGCATTGGTTTACCCTTTATCCTTTGTCTCACCATTTGTTATTCATCTTCCCTTCTTCAAAGCAGATAAACATATATACAAGACACAGAATACTAAAATCAAAGACAGTGACAACAGGGAATAAACCAAAGGAAAAATATATGAAAGGGGGCTGGGAAGGTTGCTCAGTGGTAGAGCGCTTGCCTTGCATGCATAAAGCCCTGGGTTCAATTCCTCAGCACCACATAAGCAGAAAAAAGCCGGAAGTGGCGCTGTGGCTCAAGTGTTAGAGTGCTAGCCTTGAGCGGTAGAGCTGAGAGATAGTACCCAGGCCCAGTGTTCAGGCCCATGACTGACCAAAAAAAAAACAAACAAGAAACAAAAAAAAAAAAACCCAAACACCAAACAAAAAATATGAAAGAAAAAAGAAATAACTTCACACAGAACATTAAAACAACAAGGAAAAATAACCCTCTTGTTTCCATATCTTGGAGTTTATTTTGATTAACATCATTTTATATGTTCATATGTACATAGCAATTGAGCTACTGTGATCCTCTGCTAGGACTATTTTAGGTATTTTTCAAATTGGGCTGGGTATTTGTTATTAAGTGAACCACAAGTCTGTCATTGGTTCCTTCTCTAGGTATAGTTTTTCCTGGCTTTAGGTTATGATCTTGAGTTGTTAAGATCTCAAAATCCTAAAATTGTAGATTGTAGATAGCTATCTGTACTAAATAACAGAAATTCATATGTTTTAAAAATTATGTTAAATGAGAAACAAAATTTACCTCTGTAACCATTTTGAAGTTTACAGGTCAGTGAGTGACAAATTTTACTATGCATTTGGTTATAACAAACATACCATCAAAGTAGCTCAAAGCCTTCATTTATTTAATATCTATTTTTTTTGTCAGTTGTGGGGCTTGAACTCAGGACCTGGGCACTATCCCTGAGCTCTTTCTGGTGGTTAATTGGAGATAAGAGTCTCACAGGGACTTTTTAGCCTGGTTGACTTTGAACCATGATCCTAGGATCTTAACCTCCTGAGTAACTAGGATTATAGGTGTGAGCCACTGGTGCTACTTATTTCATTTTTGTCAACTCTGAAAATCAAACCCAGAGTATTGCATATGCTAGGCAATTGCTCTGCCTCTGAGCTACATGCTCAGCCAAAGTCCCCATCTTATGAAAGAGCTCTAATTATCCCTATTCATTCTAAACAATTGGTCTGATGAACCTGTCCATTTTTACCTTTTATGTATCTATTCTCACTCTGTTCCATTACCAAGGCCAGATACAAGTTACAGAGCCTTTTATTGGCATTTCTGCTTCCATTCCTTTTTTCTAATAAATATTAATAGCTTCCAGACACTGAGTCCTATCAAATCACTTTTGTGTTAAAAGTGTTCAGGGATTTTCAGTAGCTCACTTTAGGAAAAGAACAAACACTTGGCATTCCCAGCCTTGTAACCTGGCTACAGCCCACCTTCAGGCTGACTTCTTCCCTCTGGCTTTGCCTTCAGCAATAGTTTAGGAGACACTTTAAGGGCAGTGGGAAAAGTGGAGGGAAGGAAGGGACAACCACTGTGGAGTCACCAGCAGGGACTTGCCACAGCCTTTCTTTCCATCCTCCAGAGAAACGGCAAATCTCCCTTCCTATGTGAATACCTCCGAATTTACACCAGTAATCTGTGGATTAATTTTTATTTTTGTGAGTCCTGGGGCTTGAACTCAGGGTCTGGGCCTTGTTCCTAAGCTTTTGTGTTCAAGGCTAATGCTCTACCACTTGAGCCACTTCCAGCTCTTTTGGTGCTTAATTGGAGGTAAGAGTCTTGTGGACTTTTTTTTTTTTTTTTGGCCACAGCTGGCTTCAAACAGCGATTCTCATATCTCAGACTCTTGAGTAACTAGGATTACAGGCTTCTGAGTCGCTCTCCTGCCCGTCTCCTCCAATTTAGCCCTTTTGAAAAACTGAACAGTAGAAAACCATGCCCTGTGAACAGGGCTACCTTGGGTTTTCTGTGCCTGTGCCTGGTGGATTTTTGCCTTGTGTGGGAGTGGCTACAGAGTTATAGTCTAAGGAAATAGTAAAATAAACCCAACAGGAGTTTAGGAAATTCCCACTGGGAAAAATGACTGCTTTAAGGCGTTGTTGTGGTTCATGTAGAAAGTCTAGTAAATGGATCTAAAATTATTTAAGCACAACAAGCTTCTACTAGCACAAGCTTTGCAGAGCTAGAATTTTATTAACAAAAGTTTTGTGTTGCCTCCCCCTCGATACATATATACATACATACACACATATATGTACATATGTGTACACACATACATACATAAATATATATATATATATCTAACTTTTAGGGGTTATTTTGCAGGCCAAATTTGTCAAGATGTCCTTGATCCCGAAGCACTTCGGACTGAAAGCCAGAGAAGAATCATACCTATTTAAAGAGCTCGATAAGATTCAACAGAAGACCAAGAAGGATTTTCAAATATTGAAGCAGAAGCTGTTGGCCAGGCCAGCCTTAGGTGAGGACAGCTCTGCTCCGGTCCCCGCCCCTGCCCAAAGCCCGGAGAAGCGACGACGAGTTTGTTTGCGAGGACCTGGACCATCCAAAAAGTCCCTTTCAGGTAAAGGCCTTGGGGGCCTCTGGCTGGAGACGTCCCGGGTCCTGCCTCGGCCCCCGGGCCTGGGCGAAGCACTCCCCCCTAAGAAGGCCCAGCAGTTTCAGCCCCACCAATTTTACATGCGGAGCTCCGCCTTCCTGCGACACAAACCACTGAAGAGGCCACCGATCATCGCCCCGCAGGTGGGCACGACCAAACCCGTGATCCTACTGCCGCCCCCGGGAAAGCCAGGGACACGCTGGGCGGAGTCCAGGAGACCCTCCGCTCAAGAATCCGGCGAGGACGCAGACCAGCTGTCGGAGGAGCGGCGGTCCATGGACCAGGGGGCCTACATCAGCAGCCTCGGGGAGGAGGAGGACTCCTCCAAGCAGCGGCGAACCGTGAGGATTCTCACTCGCTTCACGCGCCAGCGCTCGGACAGCAGCTCGCTCGATTCCGTCTCCAGGACGGGGCGCCTGGACAGTGGCGCCCTGGGCGAGGCGCAGGAGGCCCGGCGCACGTCCCGGAGCTCGTCCTTGCGCTCGTCCTTGCGCTCGCCCTTGCTCTGGTCCCCGTCCTTGCGAACGTTGCGGCGCTCGTCGACGCGCCAGTCCCAGCGCCCGTCCCTGCGCTTGTCCACGCACCCGTCCTGGCAGCCACATCGAGTCATCCCCACGTCCATCGAGGAGATCATCAGCTCGCTGCAGTCCGAGAGCCAGTTGGCCTTCGACCAGACCATCAAAGAGCTCATTCAGAGCGTCCTGGGCCAGAACTACGACATCAAAATGGAAGTAAGTGGACCAGAGCCGCCGTGGGGGACCGCCCTGGGTCAATGGCACGCAAAGGTTACCTTACAGAAGGTCACATTATACGCACACATAGACGGTTCAGTTTCTGTATACACATTCTGTTGTGCCTACAAATATGTCCGTGACACGATGTCATACACAACACTCTGTAACTTACTGGAAGTTTGTGTTCGAATTTTCCTTAGGGAGAGTGTGTCTCTTCTTTGCAAAGCGAAAGAAATCGAGAGGTTATATCCTGAAAAGTGTTTCAAATAACCAGTAGAGGAAGATTGCACTCATAAGCATAGCACTACTAGTTTTCTTTCTCAAAGACCAATTAATGGTGACTTAACAGAATAGGCACTATTTTGAATGAAAAACAAAACCCCAATCATTTTTGGTTAGGTTAGCTTTACAAGTGGTGAATTACAGTGATATGAATTTATATCTTAAGAAGATCATGATTGAACTGTTAATTACTGTTTAAAGAATCTTTTCTTTAAATTGTATTCAGAAAAGCTGGGTTTTAATTTTCTTTTTTTCAAATTTAAATTTAAAAATATTAAATTATGTTTTTCTTTAAGTAATCGTACAAAGGAGTTTCAGTTCAGCACTTCAGTTTATTAGTGCAATGTAACTTGGTCAATGTCACCTCTACTATCAATTTTCCCTCTTAAGATTAATTTATAAGAACTATATAACACAATATTTCTAGTGAAAACTGTTCCCTTAAAACATTTGGCTGGCTGGGAAGGTGGCGCAGTGGTAGAGCTCTTGCCTTGCATGCATGAGGCCCTGGGTTCGATTCCTCAGCACCACATAAGCAAAAAGAAAAAAAAAGCCAGAAGTGGTGCTGTGGCTCAAGTGGTAGAGTGCTAGCCTTGAGCTGAAGAGCTGAGGGACAGCGCCCAGGCTCAGAGTTCAAGCCCCACGACCGGACCCCAAAACAAACAAACAAACAAAACATTTGGCTGGACTCTAGTGGTTCATATCTATAATTCTAGTAATTCCTAGTGACTAGGGAACCTGAGACCTGGAGGACCATGATTGAAAGCCAGTCTGAGCAGAAATGTTGGGAAACTCCATCTCCAATTAACTAGCAAAACCCCAGCACATCAAGAAAGTCAAGTGAACTTGAGACTCTGAATTCGAATCCTAGTACCACAAAAGATTAAAAAAAAAAGAAAAAAATATTTTCTGGGCACTTAACCAGTGTCATTTACAAACACACATGAATATGCTTTTTGTGTGCCAAGCACAGAGGGTGATACTCTATGTGAATTGTGTCCCAACAGCTACATCAAGTAGATAGCAAAAGTCCTGTTTACTGCTTTAGTGAGGAAAAGAATTAACAAAGTGTCCCACAATGAATTCATGACAGAGCTGGGATTCCATCCCAGGCAGGCTCATTCAGAGACTAGGTTGGAATCATGCTTATTTGTTTACTATGATATGTTTTACATAGGAAGCAAAGTGAGATAGGGTTACATTTAAGTTTATTCTGTCTGGGCCTGGGGTCTGTGGTTCAGGGATGTTATCCACGCCTGTTATCCTAGCTACTCAGGAGATCCCAGGCAAATCTATGAGACTCTTATCTCTCATTAATCCCCCCAAAAGCCAGAAGTGGGGCTGTGGCTCAAGTGATAGAGCACTAGACTTGAGTAAAAAAACTAAGGGATAGCACCCAGGCCAGAAGTTCAAGCCCCTGTACTGGCACCAAAAATAAACAAACAAATAAATAAATAAGAAGAAAGCTTTTCTTATTTATTGTTTGTGATATAAGGTTTGCACTGGTGGGGACATTCAAAGCAAAAATAGTAATAATGGAACTTGAGCCCTATACTGGGGCATAGTGAGAGTCCTCTTTTTTTTTTTTTTTGAATAGGACAAAGGGAAGAAGATTCTAGATTATTACTGTTTTTCCCTGCAGATCCTAATATCTGGCTAGTACATAGACTACTGCTGCACAAATGTGTATCTTTAAAAGTATTTCTGCCCCAGAACCCTTTAGGCAGTGACTTTAGGAATGTGATCGTAAAGGGAAACAGAATGCATATGAGCTAGAGTCTCCAGTGTTGTCTTACCCTGAATTAAGGTCCATACTTTCACTTATTGAAGTTCAGCGTGACTATGGAGGCCATTGCAAATTTCTAGTTAAGGTTTCTTCCCCCCCAAGCTACCCAAAAGAAGAATTAGGGGGCATGTGCCCATGAAGGTCCTAGTAAACAGAAGAAAATCTTCAGTGCTCATATCTAATGGCGTAGTCATGAAAAGAGACTGGTAAGAGAAACCAGCTTAGGAAGCCCTAGATAGTTGAGGAACGTTCTATTTCAGAGCAAGATGCATTAGAAAGAAGACATTTTGAAGGGGTGAAATGGGATTAGAAATAGGTGAAGGTGGAATATCAAATAAATGATGATATTTGGAACAGTGAATTCTCCCCCCGCCCGCACACCATATTTATTCCTCTGTTTCTCTTTTGTGTCTTTTTTGTTGTTGGTGGTGGTATTTTAGTTAGCATTTTAAGAAGGGGTGGTAACAGTGAGAGCTTAGATTTCTAAACTTGCCCAGCAGTAAAGAGATCATCCATTCATTACTCCCTGTGGGAACACTGGAGACTGTTAAGGGGAACAGCAGTGAGATACTACATTCTTTCCAACCAAGATGGAGTCAGCAGAAACCTAGCGAGAAGCCAGAACTTCTCCCTCACCCAACAGTAACAAAAAGACCACATCTGCGCATCCATGGAGGCTGAACAGGGAACCTGAATTTTTACCCGGAAGTAATGAGGCAGTGTCTGCCCTCCTAAACAAGGACCCTGTTTATCGTGGTGTCAGAGAAAACCAGCTTAAACAGAGTTTAAATAAGTTCTAGACATTTATAATGTCCAGTTTCAGTAGAAAATCACTTATGCCAGGAATCAACAGTACCTCAGTTTGAAAGATAAACAATGGATGCCAACATTAAGATAGCAGAGATATTAGAGTACTCTGGCAAAGATTGTAAAGCAGCCTTGAAAACGTTTGGGTAATTATGAACATACTTGGAACAAATGAAAAGAAAAAGTTGAACGTCTTAGTAAAGACGCAGAAAGTCTCAACAAAGGAAAATACTGAAGCTGAAGTAATAATTGAAGTAACAATGAATTCATTGGATAAATTCAGTCGCTGAATGGAGAAGGGGCTAGAGGACAGAATCAATGAATGAAGATAGAGCTGGAGAAACATTATGATGGAAAAAAGTGACATCTGTGGAATGATAACAAAAAAGATGGGACCTTCTTTTCATCACAATCCTGGAAGGAGAGGAAAAAGAAGGCAGCACCAAAAAACAAAACAAAAACAAAAAAATTGTAAAGAAATATTGACATTGGCTGAAATATCCCTAATTTGGTGAGATACAGATTTAAGAAGCTGAGAGAGGGGGCTGGGAAGGTGGCTCAGTGGTAGAGCTCTTGCCTTGCATGCCTGAGGCCCTGGGTTCGATTCCTCAGCACCACATAAGCAAAAAGAAAAAAGCCAGAAGTGGCGCTGTGGCTCAAGTGGTAGA